TGTTGTATAGAGCAGTGTAAAACCCTCTTTAGAAAATAGCGAAGCTGTGAAATCCTTAGAAAAAAACATCTTGACTCAGTTTAAACCTCTTTAGGAAATAACTTTTTCAGCGGTTACGCTATTGAATGCAAAACAATAGTGCAGATAAATACAGAAACTCACCCCTCGGGCACAACACTCAGTTTTCAGATAATGCAAGGCAATCATGTAGGTATTTCATGAAGTAGCACAGACAACAGATAATGGCAGACAAATGAAACAAAGTAAACACATAGAACAATACCAGTACCGCTGCGGCATGCAGCCCGATCCATATATTGCTGCGGCGTGCAGCCCGATCCATTTATCGTCGACGACGCTCACTGGGGGTGTGCAGACTCCGGGAGGGGCCCCTTACGGCCCAAGCGCAATATCAAGCCATCTCGTGGCGTACATATCTCCGGCCCTCGGCCTCATAATCAAATCAGTATCTCACTGCTGCGGCGTGCAGCCCGATCCAAAAGTATCCTCACAACACAGGCCCTCGGCCTTACTCATTCAGAAATCACATAAGCCCCGCGGGCAACAGTAAAACATGACGCTCAGCCCAAAAATATTGTTGGAAATATCATTTCAAGTGTTATAGTAAAATAAACTTGGCTGAGTTTTGAAAACAGTGGAAAATACATGACTGAGTTCAAGTATAAAATCAAAACAGTGAGGAAACAATGATAATAATCCTCGAAGGGTTCAAATAGTTTGCACGAAGCCCAAATATGGCAATCAACCCAAATCATGATGATAACAAGTAAATTTCAGTCAAATACACGGTAAATTCATCAATCGGGACGGACCAAGTCACAATCCCCAACGATGCTCTACCCCACGCTCGCTATCCGGCGTGCAAGTCACCTCAATATAGCACTACGATGTGCAATCCGGTGTTTCAAACCCTCAGAATATCATTTACAATCATTACTCACCTCGAACCGGCAAAATTTCTAGCTCGCGACGCCTTTGCCCCTCAAATCGGCCTCCACGTGCATCGAATCTATCCAAATTCAGAACGAATACGTCACAATATGCTAAGGGAACAAAGCCCAAGCGAAAACAATTGAAAAATATCAAAAATCCCAAAATTAGCAAAACCCGAGCCCCGGGCCAACTTCTCGAAACTCAGAAATTTTTACATCAACGGGTTCCTTATCTTCCCACGAGTTCATACATACCAAAAGTTCTCAAATCCGACCCCAAATGGCCTTTCAAATCCCAAATCAAAAGTCCAATTTCTCAAGCCCTAATTCTTAAATTTTAGGCTTTGCTTCCATGAATTTTTAGGTGGATTTCACAATATAATCGAGTTTCAAGACCAAGATTCTTACCTCAAGTCGATTCCTCTTGAATCCCTCTTGAATTTCCTTCAAAAATCTCCAAAAACGAGCAGCCATGGGTGAAAATAGACCCAAAATTGCGGACAAGACGACTTAAAAACATTCTACCCAGCACTCAAAATCCTTCTTCGCGATCGCGATCAACTCCTCGCGATCGCGATGCACAACATCTCGTTGACCATTAAATTGCCTTACGCGAACACGACGAACCAGACGCGAACGCGATGCCTAATCCGCTTAAAACTTTGCGAACGCGGTATCCATCACGCGAACGCGTAGCTTCCACTTGCCATACCATTGCGAACGCAAAAACTATATTGCGAACGCGAAACACAAAAGGGCCAGGACCCCAGCTGCTCTATTTACACGACGCGAACGCGGGAAATACATCGCGTTCGCGAAACACTCAGGACCTCACCCCTTCGCGGACGCGGGACCAACATCGCGAACGTGGAGGCAAAATTCATAGCCTCCTCATGCATCCCTTCGCGCACGCGAAGGCCAAAAGTCTGCAACAGAAACTTCAGAAAATCTGCAACTTCAAAACACCAACAATGGTCCGATTGACCCTCCGAAACTCACTCGAGGCCATCGGGACCCCAACCAAAAGCACCAACATATCCTAAAACCTCATTCAAAAATCATCAAAACACCTCAAACAACATCAAATCACTCAAAACACATCGGATTCAAGCCTAAGTTTTCCAAAAACTTCCGAAATACACTTTCGATCAAAAACTCGACCAAACGACGTCTGAATGACCTGAAATTTTGCACACACATCCCAAAGGACATAAGGAAGCTACAGAAACTCTCGGAATTCCATTCCGACCCTCGGATAAAAATCTCGCCTATCAACCGGAATTCGCCAAAATACTAACTTAGCCAATTCAAGCCTAATTCTACACAGGACCTCCAAAACCATTTCCGATCACGCTCCTAAGTCATAAATCACCCAACGAAGCTAACCAAATCATAAAAATTTCGATCCGAGCTCATATACAAATAAGTCAACTCTTGGTCAAACCTTTCAAATTCAAAGCTTTCAATTGAGACCGTTCCTTCAAATTCATACCGATTTTCGTGAAAACCAAAACCAACGATCTACATCAGTCATAATACATTATACGGGACAAGTCCTGCCCGATAACTGGCGATAAAAGTGCAAAAGCTCAAAACGACCGGTCGGTTCGTTACATAGCTTCTCCCCCAACTCTTGAGCCTTTCCCTTAGTCAAGGCTCCCCACTTGATCTTAGGTTGCTCGTACACCGTTCTCTTCTTCCTAGCTACCTTGACCTCCAATTCTATCACCAAGAGCCTATGCTGTATCGACAAACACTCACTCGGGATAACCTTGCAATCTGTACAAGGCTCTTATCACCTCTCCGGATGAAAAGAAAATCAATCTGATTCTTGGCAATCCTACTCCGAAAAGTGACCAAGTGTTCCTCCCTCTTATTAAAACCTGTGTTAGCTAGCACCAAGTCAAAAGCTTTAGCAAACTCCAACAACAAAGTACCGCCCTCGTTCCTAACCCCGAAACCAAACATGTAATGCACCTCGTCATAACCCCTAGTCGTCTCCCTAACATGACCATTAAAGTTACCCCATATGAAAATCTTCTCGGGGTGCGGATACCACGAACAACCTCGTCCAAATTATCTCACAAGCGCCTTTTCACTTCCTCTCTTAGTCCTGCTTGAGGCGCGTAAGCACTAATCACGTTAAAAGTGAACCCATTAACCACTAGCCTAATAATCAACAACCTATCATTCACCCTCCTGACATCTACCACTAATTCCCTTAGATCCCTATCAACTAAAATACCTACCCCATTCTTGCCACCAACACCCCTCGAATACCAAAGCTTATACCCATTAACATCCCGAGCCTTCGTACCCCCTCCCCCAATCTAGTTTCTTGGACACATGCTATATTGATCTTCCGCTTCTGTAGAATCTTCCCCAACTCTATCAACTTACCCGTCAGTGTCCCTATGTTCCAGGATCCAACTCTCAACCTTGTGTAATCCCTACCCCCTTTGCCACTCTTGCTTCCCGCCCTCTGACCCACCCGAGGACACGACCTTACACTACCATCTCTCAGATTAGCCACTACACCAGGTAAAACACAGGGATATAAACTAAGGCTCACCTACTACAAATGCAGATCAGCAGGTAAAGCGTAAAACAAGCATAGCCTAAATATAAACAGAAATGTAATTTAACTCGGGTAAGTAAAAGACACTAGTGATACAACTAATATCCGATAAATGCATGCTTGCCGAAGGAAATACAATAATCAAGGATGAAAGGCAGCCGACAGAATATTAACAAATAGCAAATTCTAAGCAAGAACGGTAGAACCCGGAGTCCCAATGGGTGCTGAGAAACGTGTTGTCTACAGCAGCTATGTTCCAAAAGTTCCCGCGCGTCGCCCGAGGATTGCCGGAAATCATCTCCGTGCAAAATCCTTGATGTCGCTGCTAGGCCTAGGACTCCGACCAGCAGTAATAACAAAAGGGGAAAGAGGATATGGGTGAAAGAAAAAGGTAATGACTGCCGCCACCACTGGGCTAGGACAGTGGGGAGTCGAGATGCGGGATATGGAGGGGGCAGAATGAAAAGACTGAGGTGAAAAGATGGGAGAAAGAAAAAGAAAGCAAGATAAAGAGAAAGAAAGAGACGAAGAAGAAAGGGGGGGGGGGAGAGGCAGATCGAAAAAACCAGAAGAGAAAGGAGGGGGAAAACAAGTAAAGATAGAAGAAGAAAATAAGTGAAAGATAGGGGGGGGGGGTGAAGATCGGAAAAACCAGAAGAGAAAGGACAAGGACTTACTGGGGTCCAGTGGTCGCCGGTTGTACACCGGCGGCTGGCGGTAGTGGTGGGGCTGGGGGAGGGGGGTTAGGGTTGGAAAAGAGATACGTTAGAACTAAACACTTTATTATAAAATGCAGAATTTTATACTGTGATTAATTATTCATACTGCATGTGCAACAGACTAGTTAATTTGGAAAAATATAAGTTTTCTGTTTTCGGTAAAGATTTTCTTGAGAAGGGAAATAGCCTTGCTGGCGTTTCCACTTCCATACAAAATCAATCATTATATTCATTACCATCACTAGAGCCTATATTATTAATTACACATCAATCTAATCCTCCTAATTAATACCCCTTCCAAATTTCAATACTAGTAGTGGTCCTCAAAATCCTCAGTATATGCTACAATCTCCCAAATAACTCTAACCCCTTTTTAAAATATTTTTTATTTCATCTCTTTTTATTCTATATTATGGACATATCTATAGAATAAATAAATTTTATTTATAAGTAAAATAAAAATAATTTTCAGGCATATATACTATTGGAACAAATAATTGAGCAAAACTTTCAAGTATATATAATGTATATTTTTATTATACCTATATTTTAAAGAATTATTTCTTTTGTATTGCATGCATGTAATAATTTTTTGTTGTATTAATGCAAACTATATTTAATAACGCATAACCAAACCACAACGTTTTAATAACGCCCCATCTCAACCGTTGATCTTCTGTCATCCGACGGCTAGAATTGAACCCCCAAACCCCTTATATTAGTCCGAAAACTCCCCCAAACCCTAAGAAACACCTCCATTTCCCTCATCTCCCAAATTAACTAAACCTAGCCGCCCTAAATCCCCAAATCAACTGATCGGCGGCACCACCTCTTAACCTCCCCAAATCTTCACCAAACAATAACATCTCCCCCTCTCTCTGAATCCCATAACCATTTCCCTCAAAACTTTCTTGATTTTGTAGGTTTTAGATCTAAAATCTCAGAAAAACCTAGTTTTGCCCTTTTCGATTGCTTCGTAAGATTCATTCAATTTGGCTCGAAACTTATGTTGATTGATTGATTGCTCTGGACAAGAGAAATCTATTAACATTAGTTTTGGACCATTTCAAAGTCGCCAAGATTCGGCCGTTCCGCCCATTGCTTGACTGGATTCTGTATTGCATGTCTCTTTTAAACTCGAGCAGGTATAACTTCATTCTTTTTCTTTCCTTCATTAACTTTAATCCTTTGTTTCATTGGCTTATTTTACAATTTCATTTTTTTTGGTTAAGGTTATGCTAAACGAGATTTATTTTAGACAAATTTGTTAGTTAAATCGCATTTCTATTTTGTTAGAAAATAATTGAAAGCCAATGCTTTGTTTTAATTAATTAGTTACTTCTTAATTAGTTTTTGTTTAGCATGTGCCCGGTTTAACTAAGGTCTAAGTGATTAATCTGTTTTTAGGTTCAAATTGGAATTAATTGGTAAATAACAGAAGTTTGAGGGGGCTAAAGGGCATTGCAAAAATAGGGAATCTTGTTTAGTTATTTAGGAAGCTTCTAGAGAGGAGTAAAAGTGCAATAAAAAATGGATTAGGTCAAATTTGGGGTAAAAAGATTTAATTTCAGAAGCTAACTGTCCATTTCTGTTGAAAAGATGCCCTTATTCCTGAATTTTAGGGGCTGCACATTCCTCAAATTATTCCCTCTTCATTGTGCACATAACAAATTCTCACTCTCTATATAAGACCTCATATCCTCTCACTCACGGAGACACACGAATTCTCTGAAAAAATTTAGAATCCTCTCTTCATTTTTTACACTGATTTCTCAAAGGAAACACTCTGAAAAATTCCATAAAGGTTTTCACAAGTTATTCTTCTCTGTATGATTTGCTATTCAACTTCTTGTTTCTTCAATACTGCATCAAGTTGCTGAAGAAATCTGTTGCTTTCGTTTGCTGCTGGAATTTTGAATTTCATCTTCTAGTTTCAGACCTTTGCTTGTCTTGTCTAGCTGATTTTCTGCACTTAGGTACGTTTTTCTTTTTAAAAATTTTGTAATCATCAGCTTGAATCGATAACTGCAAATCTGGTGTTTTAAATGCCCTATCCTGTGTTTAGTTTGCTTGTTTATTACTGATACCCATGATTCCTTTTAGGTGTGTTGATGTTTGCTTTGCTAGTATGTGTCGAACATTTCTACTTAGCCTAGTTCTGTATATGAATGAATTCCAAACCGTGAGTAATTTATGCCTACTGGTCTAATGATGTTCAGAAGGTTAAGTTGGTTGGTTTGATCACCAGTTGTTCAAATCCATCCAATGAATGGATTAAATCAACGAAGTTGGCTCATGCAATTCTGTCACTGTATCGTCAAGGAGGCAGTATAATAAATATATATGTTTTAGAATTGTTTAGGCCAGATTTTTAAAGTTATTATGATTTACACAAAGTTATCTATGTAATAGACTCATTTGAGTTTAAAGTGCCAATTCCTTCTTGTTAGCTGTATTGATTTGTTTCCAGGCTTAGTTAATTTGTAATATCAAAGTGAATGAAGATTTCATTTGTAAAATTTGTTAAATTTTCTGCATTTCTATATGTATTGGGCCCAGTGAGACTACCTTCTAAGCCCTAATGGGAGTTCGGCCCAGTTTGGGGTCGACTAAATAAGTAAAAATTGTGTGGGGTAGCCACTTTTTAAAGTGGTATTTACTTTTTATCCAGTATTTTTAATGCTGAGCAAAAGTAGCCACTAGTCTATTAAAATTAATATGAAAAGACGATGTTACCCTTTCTAAGTTTTCATGATCGGCGGGATTTTCCTTACTTTTGGGCTTGCTATCGTCTTCATTGTCATGGATGTGATTCGCGTAAGACAAATTTAGCCTCCAAATGAGATTCCTCCGAAGAAAACGTTGCTACTGTTTTACTTTCTCAGGAAGAAAACGTTGCTACTGTTATGTTTGATCTTTAGGACTTTTCTTGTTAAGATAAAGATTGAGGAAAAATAAGTATGTAGCTTAAAAAGTGAGTGTGAAGAAGAGAGAGTGGGAGCTGCAAGTTGTTTGAAAAAGTGGAGGAGGGTCGTCGAAGTAGGGAGGTTATTGGAATAGTTAAGGACATGTAGTCCTTAACTTAGAGTTACAAGCTCATAAATTAGGAACAATTAGTCCTGAACTTACAGTAATAAGCTCACAAGTTAAGGACACTTGGTCCTGAACTTAGAGTTTCAAGTTCAAAAGTTAAGTAAATGTAGTCTTGAAGTCCTAAAGTTAAGTTCAATAATTAAGGACACAAGTTCAAAAGTTAAGGACAGGCAGTCCTTAACTTACAGTTACAAGTTCTAAAGTTAAGGAGATGCAGTCCTTAACTTATATTTACAAGTTCAAAAGTTAAGCACAGACAGTCCTTAACTTACAGTTACAAGTTCAAAAGTTAAGGAGACAATAGGTCCTTAACTTTGATTTCCAAGTTCAAAAGTTAAGGACAGACAGTCCTTAACTTACAGTTACACGTTCAAAAGTTAAGGACAAGTAGACCTTAACTTACAGTTACAAGTTCAAAAGTTAAGGACAATAGGTCCTTAACTTTGACTTACAAGTTCAAAAGTTAAGGACGCTTGGTCTTGAAGTTTGAGTTCCAAGTTCAAAAGTTAAGGACATGTAGCCTTGAAGTCCTGAACTTAGAGTTCCAAGTTCAAAAGTTAAGGACATGTAGTCCTGAACTTAGAGTTCCAGGTTCAAAAGTTAAGGACATGTAGTCCTGAAGTCCTGAACTTAGAGTTCCAAGTTCAAAAGTTAAGGACATGTAGTCCTGAAGTCCTGAAGTTAAGTACAAAAGTGAAGGACATGAGCAGAAGGGTATTTTCGTCCGGGCAGTTAAAGTTTATTAAAGTAGCGGCTTAAGACTAAAAACATTTTAAACGGTGGCTTAAAAGTAAATACATATGTTATTAGTGGCCAACCGTGCACTTCCCCCACTAAATAAAGCCTAGGCGTTTGGCCTTGGTGCAAACCAATTAAAATTTGGTTTGGATTGGAAGATTAACATGCCAGTGATCTACTCTGTCGGTTACATAAAAGTACGAATCAATCAACCTCTCTCATGTGGACCTATCGAGACTTTTGGGTTGAAATGGATAGTTCCATCGTGCTTCTTCATCTTGTTCGCATAATTCAAATGTTGCCCAAATATGTAGGCTCTAATGTGGTAATGAACCAGTATATGAGAATGAGGGCAGGCAATTACTTGAATCAAATGTGCCCACTCTATAACCGTTCATAATGCTCAGCTCTTTATTTACCATAATTAATTTCCATAACTTATGCCTCTGCAAGTATCTTAAACATTAGCAAATAAACAACTCTCGAACATCCTAATTTGCTTTAGGCGCGTCTAAATAAATCATCGTAACTATGGGTATGGTTCCCGTGGCATAGTCTTGATACGTAAACCCCAATTTGAGTGTGCGTTTCACGCGACTTGACCATATCTTCAAATAATAATAATAAACATGTTGTAAATCGCGGGTGTGTTTCACGTGGCGCGGTTTGCAATATGTACAAAAACAATAAGTGCGCGACATCACGACTTATTTAAATAAATTCCATAAATCCTAAAAGCATTTAAAATTCTATTAAAAGCGGTTAGAAAGTTAAAAATTCACAATAGGTTTTAAACACATAATAAATCAGATAATTAGATCAATTATTAATAGTTGAGTGACTGTGCTAAAACCACGAAATCCGGGAGTGCCTCACACATTCTCTCAGGTTAACAGAATTCCTTACCCGGTGTTCTGATTTTTGCGGACTTTAAAACAGAGTCAATTTCCTCGATTTGGGATTGTAAAATGAACGGTGACTTGGGACACCATAACTATTATCCGAAACGGCGACTATAACTAAATAAATAATTCCATTTCGAATAATATCACTTTAATTAGAAAAACTTGCTATTCTTCATAAAAAGGAGGTGCGGCACCTGATTGTTTTTTTTTTTTTTTTACTTTTTAGTAAGATTTAACTATTCTATAGGTAAATCCATAATATAAGAGCAAAAAGAGAAAAGAATCATTAAATTTTAAAGAGATAAACGTTACTCCAATTTAGAGGGTAAAATTGGTATTTGGCCATCCAAAATGTGAGAAATCTAGTTGAATGACCTTTTAAGTATTATATGAATAGCTAAGTGACTTTCTTTTAGAAACAAAAGAAACATGACTTTACTAAATAATTTTAAATAGTTAAATACAAGACTCTTGTCTATAATATGATTTGAACCTAACAAGGTGTTCGATTGCCTATATATTTACATGTTACGTTCTTACCACTAGACCAAAGCTCGAGAAGACCAGAGGAACTCAATTTCTATTCCTTAATTTTCTGGCTTGATTATAATGAGCAAGAATCCAAAAGGCTACCTTAATCTAATTGCTACTCGAGTATATGAAAGGATATTTTCAAAACAAAAGTAGAACACATCATACAGAAAGTAGTTTTTTTAAAATTTAACATGTACAAAATCCAAAAACATTATATTCACTTGCTTCGGTGCTTGTTTCCTTGCCCATCACCAACTGCTTCAGTATCTTGTCAATGGCTTCTGAGGGCGATTCTTGACATCCTTCCCAGAATATTTACCTACAATATATAAAAACAAATTATTGCCTTTAGTTATTATTTCAAATTGTTGGATTACATATTGCAGCGGAAGCAATACAGTATCATATTCACGTGTGAATTAAATAATTAGCACATATGGAGATTATTCGAGTTACCTTTTGAACTGTGAACAAAGCAAATCAATTTCCGTCTCCAATTCCATAGTTGCAAGACTGCGTCCTCGGCAAACTTCCATAGTCTTCTACCGTGTTATCCAAATAATATCCGGGAAAAGAGAATTTCGGGTGGGCGATTCAAGGAAGAAAACGTGTAGAACCAGTGCAAAAAACGGCCAGCCTATATCTCTTATATATAGCCACGTTTTTAGGTTAAAACCTTTTTCCAAAACCCGTTAGGTATTCCTCTTCCACTAAGGAAAGGTTTCCTTTATTTCCTATTATTTAGGCACAGTAGGGACCACAAAATTTGATTAACAAGGCTTCCTATTATGGAATTAATTTTGAAATTTTGAAATTACTTTCTACCATAATAAATTACGAATTATTCCACTAGTAATTCGTAATTGCACTCCTTAGTTCAAATTCGAAATTCTTCCATAAAACCTTATTCAGCTCCCCATGTTAAGATTCAGATACTAATCAATCAAATTAAATTACTGACAATTTAATTTATTGATTACTTTTTTAGAGTTTCGCTTAACTTATTTCATGTGTCGGATACAAAATCAACCGGCCGAGTTTACACATGAAAACTTATAAGCTTTCATAAAGGAGTATCATCAATCTCAAAATCGAGACATGGATTCTATCAACTATTTATTACTTCGCCAATGTATATCATTATTGTCCAATTTACCAGGCCTATTGACCCACAAAAGAATCTCGCCTTTTAATAAATCAAAACAATAAATGACATACACAACTAATAACTGTTATATCAAGATTAAGAGTATAAGTACATTGAATGGACTAGAGAAGTTATTTTATTAAGTCAGTATAAAATACCTATCTCTACTTGATCCGTTCAATACATACAAAATGTACTAGCACAAGAAGTTGGAATTAAACCATTCCCATAATCAAGATAAATTATATTTAATCTTGTGCTACAACCATTCCGATGGTTTGTCCAATTCCATCATTAGATTGTGACATAAACTTTATGACTTATAAGAACCGATGATTTAATCTTCCGTGTATAAGCTAAACTCTTTACACAAAATCATCTACTATATAAGCAACGGACACACAAACAAATATATCTATTTAAAATAAAACTTTATTGAATTGAATAAATAAATAAATAATTATTCCATAAAGAATACTATAACAATACGCATGGTTTATAGTATATCCTAACAATCTCCCACTTAAACTCGTAACCATGCGTCTGCAATTCTGACACCCATTCCATCTACATGCCTATCAAATGTCTTCAGTGGCAAGCTCTTAGTAAACGGGTCCGCCAAGTTATTCTCCGACGCAATCTTGGAGACTACTACATCCCCTCTTTGCACTATCTCACGAATTAAATAATATTTACGCTCAATTTTCTTTGCGCTTTTATGGCTTCGTGGCTCCTTTGAATTTGCAACCGCACCAATATTATCACAATAAAGTGTTATTGGTGCTTGAATCGAGGGAACCACATTCAACTCTCTTTGGAAGTTCCCGAGCCAAACCGCCCTTTTGGCTGCCTCAGAGGCAGCCACATATTGGGCTTTCATGGTGGAATTAGCAACACAAGTTTGCTTGATGCTCCTTCAACTTATGGCTCCACCTTCTAGAGTAAACACATTTCCTAAGGTAGACTTTCTAAAATCTCTATTTGATTGGAAATCTGAATCAGTGTACCCAATAGGCACAAGTTCATCTGAATGGTAGAGTAGCATGTAATCCCTAGTCCTTTTCAGGTACTTGATTATATGCTTAACCGCTGTCCAATGCTCTCTCCCAGGATTAGACTGAAATTTGCTAACAATGACAACATCAAAGTA